GCCTCTTCTCTCTCTCTCTCTCTCTCTCTCTCCCCCCCCCTTTACTCCCTCCCTTTGATGAAGCATATTTTCCAGTACAGTATCCCCATAGAAGTCACTGGGGAGTGTACTTGGAAAATGTTGTGCTTCCTTGAAAAACCACATTGTTTACAGCACATCCTTTCTTGATTTTGCGTCTGTGGGGGCTCTGTGCCTCTCATTGCCTTGGAGCTACTTTACCACTCTGTAAACTGTGGATAACTAACAGCAATGCAAAAGGAATTCTTATCAATAGATATGCAAATAACAGCCCACGTCCCTCTCTCAACCCCATACAAAAAGGCAGTTTCATATTTGTAAATTGATTTGCATATAACTAGCTTCAAAATTGCTTTATTCCATAAAAATGTGTGCTTTTTTTCTTTTACTTCTTTAAACTGTTTGTAACATCATACTGGTTCCCTCATTCATAATGAACTACGAAAGATATTTAACACATGTTCATTTTATATTTGTGTATGAGTCATGATTTTTATCCTTTTTAAAAAAATAATGTGTTAAAGCATAATTATTTTAAAAGAAGCATATTTTCAAGTCCTGAAGCCTGAAAATATCTTTGTTCTATCTTTACACTTGATGGATAGATTGGCTGGGTATAAAATTAAGGTTAAAAATCCAATGCCAATTTGACTTTTGTTTCTTGGCATATAACTAGTTTCCAACACTCCTACCCATCCTGGTTTTGTTTTTGTTTTCTTTTTTTATCCATGAGATTCAGAATTGATCATATGCCCATGATCATATGCCTTGGTGAGGGTCTTTTGCATTCATTTTGCCATGCACTTCAGTGGACCTTCACATCTAGAGACACACACACTAGGTCTAGAAATATTTTTGTATTATTTCTTTGGTGATTTTTCTCCTCTTAATTGCCTCTTCTCTCTCTTCCTGGAATTCCTTATATTTGGATGTTAAATGCCTAGATTTATCGTCTTTTTCTCTCCTTTGCTCCACTCCCATTCTCATTGTTGCATTAATTTGTTCCCTGTTTATTAATGAGGTTGAGTAGCTTTTCATATTTAATTGGCTAATTATTGCCCTAACCAGTTTGCCTCAATGGATAGAGTGTCGGCCTGTGGACTCAAGGGTCCCAGGTTTGATTCCGGTCAAGGGCATGTACCTTGGTTGCAGGCACATACCCAGCAGGAGGCAGCTGATCGATGTTACTCTCTCATCGATGTTTCTAACTCTCTATCCCTCTCCCTTCCTCTCTGTAAAAAAATCAATAAAATATATTTTTAAAAAATAATAATTGGCCAATTATCTTCTCAATTATTCTTTTTCTTTTAAATAGAATTATGATGTAAAACAACTGAATATAAACCAATAATTTGTCATATGTCATTTCAAAGGATTCCAAATTTGAACAGGATTAATATATATATATCACCTAGACAAAATTGGTGCCTTGTTTTACTAGCCACATTTGATACATAGTCTGGCATATAATAGTTGCCAAATATACCTTTGTTGAACAAATTCATAAGCTATTACTCAATCTTAATCTAGTTCTTCCTCCAGGGTTAAAGAGTGATGATCTTCTTTAACACTTTATTCTGGGAGAAAAACCCCTTATTGAGTATTTACTATTTGTCCTGTTCAAAGCTGGTAATTATTCTAACCCTTATAACAATCCAATGAGATAGGTACTTTTATTATCTACATTTCAAAGGTTCAGAAACTTATCTGAAAGAGTAAGCTGAGATTTGGCTCCATAGACTACACTTTTAACGGCCAGGCTAGAGGCCTCTAGAGTTGGCTCAGCTCACATGCCAATTCAGATCTATTTATAGTAGCTGTCAGGCAGGCACACATTGTTGAGAAGAATTCTAGGGCAGCATTTAGGTTCCATGGGAAAAAGAAATCTGCCTTGATTGATTAATGATGTCTGCCACAGGCCCAGGAGTGGGGTGTTGGGGTTGCTTTCTTTCTTTTTTATTTTTTTACTCAGCTTAATCCTTGGAGGAGAAGATTATCTTTGGGGTTATATATAGCTCTAGTGCTTTTGAAATTAGGGCATGTTCACTTCGAAAGTGTTTAAAGGCTGCTTTGTGTCTTTACTGTAGCAAGAGAATTCTTTAAGCACCTGTTCGTAATTTATCTGAGAGAAGCCCTGGTGATTCGCATCTGAGTGCCCCTTTGATTCCCTTGTCTCTTCCTCTTCCTGTGGCAAAAACAGAAAGTCAGAAAATAATCCCATCGCATCACGATACCAGAGGGCCATATAAAAACCCTGTGATGTTATTTTTCCAATCATCGGTTTCCTGGGCAGCCAGCATTTAAACCGTTCCAGATCGTTAGAAATGACCTTACCGTTGGTCTCTTTACTAACCCTTCTACGTCCCAAACAGCTTTACAACGTGGCTTCAGCTGCGGGGCAGCCCAACTTTTAAAGGAATTCTATCCTTTTCCCAGAATATCCATTAGACGGCTTTAAGAAAGGCATACCGTGGTTTTCTCCCACCTCTTCCCATTTTTCAAAGTGCACTTCTCTCTTACACTCAGAACCAGCATCTACTTGCTTAGGATAATTCTAGGAGGTGTTCAATATTCACTCTCCCATCCTTTAAGAAAAATGTTTTCAGCTAAAATAATATACATTTATTGAGAATTCCCGGGATGGCTGTTGTCTCCTCTAACGACCAGACTGGGAACCGAGCAGAAAAAAAAACATCACTGAGAAATCACAGGGTCCCCATCCCTCCGGCTGAGGAAAGGGAAGATGCTCTGAAGTCCTTTTCATGAAGCCAGCAGGGCTCTGAAGGAGGTCTGTTGAGAGGAAGTCCTATGACACCAGGAGTGGGTGGGGCTATTCTTGCCCACCACTGGTTCCTCTGTCTGGATCGGTTTCTCGGGGGAGCTATGTATACCTAACCAAATGTTGTTGATTTTGAAAAGCTGGGTGTTAAGCACAAATCTAGCTGAATCATGGAAGGACAATATTGCCACTTCTGGGTGAAGCCTCCAGGATGAGCTATTCCAAAAGGGTCTCCAGGTCAGAGTGCTCAGAGCCCCTGTAAGGAATAGTGGGTACAGCTTGGAAAACCCAGGACCCCCCGGGATTAGGGCACCTGTGTGGACGAGATACAGGGGTACATTTGTGTTCACCAGCTCACCCCACTTCCTGAGGCCCCCTACACTGCCTGTCGTATACCTTCTGAGGACTCCATGGTTCTCTGCTTTTCCCACTGGCCACATGTGACTCTGTCCTCAGGTCTGCCACTTCACCCTCCTGGTGGGTTTCTATCCCTTAAATCTCTTTGCTGTAGTTTTAGTGGGGATTCCTGCATCAATCCCCATCCTCACCTGGAACCCTTTCTCTTGGTCTTACTTTTCTACTGAGCTGTGTGAGGACTGCTTCGTTCACTCACTCACCAAATGTCCCCTGAGCTCCCGAGGCTGCGACCGGGCTGTGAGGAGGAGGGAGCTCATGGGCCTTTCCAGAGCGGCTACTGGTTGGGAAGACAGAGAGGAAACAGGTTGTTACAGAGCAGCAGTGTTGCTTCAAATATGGTTCGGGGACCAGTTCTGCAGGAATCTCCCTGATGCTCGTCCAGGATGTTGAACCCTGAAGGATCAGGAGTGAGCCTGGGAGGGGGCTTTGGGGCAGAGGCCCAGGGAAGACAAAGCCTCAGGGGAGGTAGGAGCCGTCAGGGAGCTCACCAGGAAAAGTGTAAGGGGCATTCACTGGCTAAGGACTGAGTAGTGAGGACTGGGTAGGGAAGACTGACTAGGGAGGACTGCGTAGGGAGAACGGCAGCACCTGTGGGCTGAGCACAGGCAGGAGACCCCCAGGGAGAGACAGAGGAAGCGGCCCTGGTAGTCAGACGGTGAAGTGTGCACTGTGGCCATCATAAAGGTTTCAGAAAGTCCAGGCTTTCAAAAGGAACCTAGAAACCAATCCTGTCTGATGCCTCTTACATGAGTTATCTGGAGCGGTCATGTTCACAGGAACAGAAACTAGAGTGGTGGTTGCCCGGGAAGAGAAAAGCAGTTGTTTAATGAGTGTAGAGTTTCAGTTTTGCGAGATGAAAAAGTTCTGGAGATTGGCTGCAAACAGTGTAAACATACCTCACACTACTGAACACTTAGAAATGGTTACGGTGGAAAATGCTGCTATGCTTTTGTTCCCACAGTAACGCAGAAATCACAGCCTGTTTCTAACCTTCAAAGGTTGCTTGATTTGTTACCCCTTTGTGAGCAGGCTGATCCGTGGACCAGCATTCCCCAAAAGGGGAACGTGTCTGCTCATCGCCACTGGAGCGTGAGAGACTTTGCCCCCCGCCTCCGCCCCACTTACCCATGAGCACCCCCAAAAACCTCATGCTGGTAGACAGCAGTCTTCAAAAACTCAAGCCAGGGCTCTTAGCCTCCTCCAACTACATGGCCCTCTTTGCACCTGGCGCCTCTAATAAAGAAATTCTGCCCGGCCAGTGTGGTTCAGTGGTTGAGCGTTGGACCTATGAACCAGGAGCTCATGGTTTGATTCCCAGTCAGGGTACATGCCCAGGTTGAGGGTTCCATCCTGGGTGGGGGGCATGCAGGAGGCAGCTGACTGAGGATTCTCTGTCATCACTGATGCTTCTATCTCTCTCTCTCTCTCCCTTCCTCTCTCTGAAATCAATAAAAACATTTTTTTAATTTTAAAAAAATATAGAACAAAAGAAATCCTGCCACCTCTCCAGCTCGTCACCCAAAGCTCCCACTTGTGCGGCCACTCAGAAGCTCCCCAATGGCTCAGGCCTCTGCTTCGTCTCCAAAGGTGCCAATTGCACTTTGGGTCCCATGGTCCAGCCCCTGGGAACTCCTATGGGCTCTTGCTACATTTTTATCCTCTGCCTCCTGGCTCTCGGAGTAGGCCCAGTGGGGGGCATGATGGGTTATCAGGATAGTGGGGCCAACCAGGAGGGGAAAGTAACCTGAGCAGCCCAGTGGATGGGGGCCTCGAGGTGGGGTCCAAATGCAGGCCTGGTTCTGGGAGCAGCACAGAAAGGTTCAGAGCTTGTCCAAGGAGTCACAGACTCTAATACAGTCATTAGAGCCAACACCTCACACCTTCAGTTGTCAGGAGTCCTTCTAAGCCAGTGGTTCTCAACCTTCTGGCCCTTTAAATACAGTTCCTCATGTTGTGACCCAACCATAAAATTATTTTCGTTGCTACTTCATAACTGTAATGTTGCTACTGTTATGAATCATAATGTAAATATCTAATATGCAGGATGGTTTTAGGCGACCCCTGTGAAAGGGTCATTCGACTGCCAAAGGGGTCGTGACCCATGGGTTGAGAACCGCTGTTCTAAGCCCTTCATATGCTCCAACTCAATGAATTCTCACAGCTAACCTGTGAGGTCAATACTATTGTGAGGTCAGTCTCTTTTGGGCTTATCTACTGTGAGAATAAAGACCATTCTCAGCAGCCAGACTGTTGACATTCCAGAAAATGTAGGTGGCACTGACAGGGATACACAGGAGCTGGGCAGGGAGCGGGGGAGGGGGGGAAAGGGGAGCCCTGCAGGGGGCCTCAAATCACATTGGTGGAGAACTCAGTCTCTTTGGCAAGAAAAGAGGACCTGGATTGACAGTGGTGGGGAAAGAGGAAGGAACTGGCCAGGGTTTACACTGGCTGTTGTTAGGCACAGAACACGATGGAGGGGATAACCCTGGCTTCCGTTACAAGAGGAGGTGTGCTCACTTCCCTATCACTGTTGTCATTCAGAAGGATGGGTCTCTTGTTGAAATCTGAAATTTCTTGAGTGAGAAATAAACCACTGGTATTTGAATGAGGCCAGGCACTGCTTGTTCAATATTTCAAGCCCCAAAAGATGAGATAATTATTAAAAGACGTTGAACTTGAATCAAATTCAGGTGCTACTTTGATCCTACAGTGACAACAGTTAAAAGCGAGAATAACAGAATATTTTTGGATGGTATCTAAGTTTCTGAAAAAGGAATAGTTCAGGCTGATGGAGACCTAAGAGTAGTCCAGTTACAGAAATAACAAGATGGCAGATCATTCTTAAGAACCTTTTAAAAATGCAATTAAAGTTCTCATTGAAGAAGAAAAAAGCACAGGGAGGATGAACTACTTGTCCTAGGACACACTGCAAACCCAGAGGGGTCAGCTCCCAAAATGGCATCCTTACCCACCAAGCAACCACTCTCCCAGCTGCTGTCAGATGGCCTATGAGACAGATGGCCC